ACTTTTTGTTTGATACCAATTATTCAAAGAGTGTCGAGGACGTGTTGACGACGAAGCACGTCCAGGACAGTCGTCAACATCAACTGTCAATAAACATGATCAACAAGTCAATAAAATAAAGGTACTAACTGGTGCTTGCAAGTCGACGATTAGCAGTCAGAAATCTTACTTGCATCGTTATAATAACGGAAGGATCAGTGAGAACCATTTAAAAGCTTATTTGGGTCTAAGAAAAGTGAAAGCAGTATTGGTTCCAAAAGCACTAAATTTTATTGAAAACCAGCATCGCTTTAACGTCTATGAAACAATGCTTTCCGACTACAAGGAAATGATGAACAAGCAAAACGGTTGCTTCGGCTGCACCGCAGCTAATATACCATTCATAGGAACATTTCTTTTAAAAACTATATGTTCAGTTTGTATGGAAGCTATATGCTACAGTAATCCGATCTGCACATTTTTTTTTTTTTTTTTTTTTGGAGATTATATTATTACCTTAAGCAGTAATCCATGTCAAATTTCGTGAAGATACCACGTCAAATGCGAAAGTTTTCCATTCAAACCCTTGATTCGGATCGTCCGGTTTGTATGGCAGCTATATGTTATAGTTAACCGATCTGAACAATTTCTTCCGATATTACATGGTTGTCTAAGAAAAGATTCTGTAGCAAATTTTGTGAATATATCTTGTCAAATGTGAAAGTTGACCATACAAGAACTTGATTCCGATCATTCAGTTTGTATGGCAGCTATATGTTATAGTGGTCCGATATCGACAGTTTCGACAAATGAGCTGCTTCTTGAAGAGAAAATGACGTTTGCAAAATTTCGAAACTATATCTTAAAAACTGAGGGACTAGTTCGTATATATACAGACAAACGAACATGGCTAAATCGACTCAGCTCAACATACTGATCATTTATATACATACTTTATAGGTCTCCGACGTTTCCTTCTGAATGTTACAAACTTCGTGACAAACTTAATATACCCTGTTCAAGGTATCAAAATATTATTTCTAACAATGAGTCTTGGATCTATACTTATGACCCGGAAACAGACGATCAGTCGGCCAAATATCGATCATCGAGGTGTGGTTCACTCCAAATTCCTTCCGACCAGCCAAACTGTCAACATGGAAAACCATTTACGAGTTATGCCTCGTTTTCGTGCGGCTATTCGTAAATAGAGTTTGAAATTATGAACTGCCAACTTTTGGTTTTTGCAGCACCATGAATTTTTATTCTCTTTTTTTCAATTATCGTTCGCCTTATTTAGCTCTGTGTGGTTTTTGGCTATTCACCAAACTCATACGACCGCACCGAGTAAACCGTTTTCAGTCAATTGAAGACATTAAACGGGAATTGCGTATTGAAGGTTTTTCCAGAAATTGACTTCAACAACTGTTTCGAGGAGTTGAAATGGCCTTGGCACAAGTGTATTGAAGCCAAAAGGGAGTACATTCAGAGCGACGAAATTCTAGTAAATAATAATATCTATCTTCGACCGTATGAAATCTGATTTCCGTGAGGTCTTCTTTCTATTTTAAAAATAGTTTCGAAATTTTTACAGTCCAGCAACTTTCACAATTGGCAAGAGTATACTTTTTCAAGATACTGGCCAAAAGTTAGTGTCACCTTACTTTCTGCAATTTATATGATTTGTATTACTCATATCAGCGCCACCCATTATTTTAATTCTTTCGAAGTATACTCCTGCTGTACTTAAGTTTGTGTAGATTTGATTGTGTACAATCACCTGCCATTTCTGTATGCCCATCACTTGACGCCATTGACTTACTTTCAACTCATTGACTTTAATGCATAAATGTGCAACTTATTATCGTCGTTTGTGCAAACATTTATAAAGCAGAATTGTTGCATTTAATTAAGGCGCTATTGATAGCTGTGGACATGGAGTCCTTCTCGCAAAGGTAATTATATTTGTAATTGCAGCACCTACGCTTTGGTACGCACATACATATACACAAACACACATGCATGTATAGACAGTCCACCTGTGCGACGGATTGCCCTGCCGAAGCGCCCCGGGCGGCAACAAATCAATGCCTGAATAAACAATGCAACTTAATCAGAAATTCAATCAATTGACGTAACAACGTAATGCTTGTTATTCGAGCGTGTGTGCATGTGGTGGTGGCGGCGGTTAGGCCTTTTGGCCTCTTTTGCCCACATTTGCGTTTACACGTTCTGTATTGAACTTAAATAATTAAATTCGTAACTGAAAACTGTCCGGAGATTTATAAATATAAATTGAATTATTTAAATATTCTTACGAGGGTTAGGCTTTTACTTGATTGGATGTAGCATTTTTAAGATTAAATCGACTTTTTTCCCTTTATAGGTCAACGGATTGGAGAGCACAGTATAAGTAAAGGCTTTGTAAGCAGTCTGGTATGTGGAAATAAGGTTTTTGCATCATTTAATTTGGTAACATAACCTCAAAAGATTTTAAATAGTGGTAGGCGTTTGAGCCAGTGCAAACTGGAACTAGTTAGTTAAATACCCATTACTAACTAGTTTAGATAGAACTGTTTAGAAACTAGTTATAATAACTAATTTATTTTTATTATTTTTCGTTTATTTCTAAAAAAAAGTAATACTTTACAAAAATCTGAATTTTAAATCAATTTCCATTACTAACTACTTTATATTGAACTAGTTCATAACTAGTTGCAACGAAAGGACTTGAGGCGGTAGTTATTATTTTAGTTATTTTTCCGTATACTCGTTTCTAAAAAAAAAATATTTTTCAATTAATTTTTTATTAAATCAATTTCCGAGAATGCTCTTAACATCCTTGCGACAGAAACATCGTAGTTGGTAGAACACTGCTTTCCCATCAAGCCTTCTATTACTTCTCTGATTGTCTGCCATGCATTCAATTCAGCGTCAATCAAAATATTATTGAATGCGTCACTTTTAATCATATTTCGTATATCTGGACCATTTATTGCGCCTGATTGGAAAAAATTAATTTGTTAAGATGGAAAACCATGGGAAGTAAGAAAAAAATTTAAAAGGTCATAAAAAAAAAAACTGACACATACGAACGCCAAACCCTTTGAGGGTTTTACTATACTGACCTAGTACCATCAYCCTGACTTGGAATTTCTCACCCCCCAGATTAGCTGTTGTACTGTGATATTAATCAATTTTAAATATTAAAAAATTGGGTAAAAAATAAGTGGTAACTCTTAAGCAATATCTTTATATTCTTAAATATCTTTATGCCCGTAAAAACTTCTGTATTTAATTCGATTTTGATAAATACATCGTTATATTTTCATTATACCATCTATCAATTGCCCTTAAATTTTTTAATAAATGGCAGCTCCTCTCCTACATTTTTTCAAATATAATTTTTCTTACACCATTTTAGCTTCATTCTTATAAAATAAATATTTTATCTTAAATAAAAATGTTAATTTATGATAAGGTGGCAACCCCTTTTCACTATATTTTTAAACTTAGGTCGCTTAAATCTTTTCAGTTTGATTCATACATTATAAAAACTTAGTAGATAAATAAAAATAAATAAAAAAGACGATCTCCAGATAGGTGGCAACTTATCTATGCAGGTTTGGAGTCTGCAGCAATCGATAAACACATTTTTTTTAAATTCATTTATCTTATGCATCAATTTTAATAGTCTAATTTTTTAAATACGTGGTAACGCTTCTTAGAATAGTTTTAAAAAATTTTAGAAACAACCCTACTCAGTATAGTGTTTACCGTAAGTCAGCTCTACTCACACATATTTTCATTTGTAATCTGCGTACACCTCTTAAGCTTCATCTTAATAGAAATAAAGTGATTATATTAAATAAAAAATTTAATTTGTAAGCAGGTGGCAACCTTTCTTAAAATAACTTTAAACGTAACCAGTTAAACATTTTCGTTTTCATACATACATTGTAAGAATGGTGAAAATAAAACTTTTTTTAAATTTTGTAGATAGGTGGCAACTCAATTTTCCCTTATTTTAGCATCAATCACTTGACAAACACATTGTTATAATTCGTTTATTTTGAAGATGAATAAAATATATCTTAACCAAACATTTTTTTATTTGTGATCAGGTGGTAACCTTTCTTAAAATAGCTTTAACTATTTAAATTTTTATATGTAATATATGTACATATGTACATATATTATTATTATATTTATATATTGTACATATGTACATATATGATGGAAATAAAAATTTTATTAAATTTTTTAGACAGATGGCAATTTTTTTAAATATATTAATGAACACTCACCATCATTTAATAACCTTTTTTTTATAATACTTTTATTTTGAATTTTATTTTTTCGAAGTACATCAATATTTGCGAAATGATACACCTCTTTAGCTCAATCCTTATGGAATTAATTTATCTTATCCATAAATTTTATTTTGCTAAATAAGTGGCAACCTTTTTTTAATTTATTTAATTTATTTAAGTTTTTAATTTATTTGGAGTTTGATATATCTATTTTAAAAAATTTAGATATAGTAAGAAATTTTATAAAAATTTCTAAACAGATGGTAACTCTTTTAATTGACAACCTTATTCCAAATATGTTTAGGACATTTATATCATTTCGATTTGATAAAAACCATTGTAAGAATTTGAATTTAAAACAAAATTAAAAAGCAATTCTAATTAGGTGACAACTAATTTTTCACTTAAATGGCAACCAGCCCAAAATATGTTTAGATCATTTAAATCTTTTCGGTTTGTTGAATATCACAAATTATAAAAATTGTGATATAATAAAAATTTAATAAAAATTGTTATTAAGTGGCAACCTTGCCCAAAATATTTTTAGGTCACTTAATTATAATATATTTCAAAAATTGGGATATAATACAAAATTAAGAAAAAAATATATAATTAGGTGGCAACTCGGTTTTTCAGTTTTATGGTTTATAGCACTTGTTTCACTCGCGTCTTGTAAAAATTACTCCAAATTTTTAATTATTAGCTTACCTTTGCTGATTTTTTAATTTCGTTTACAGCACTTGAAGAATGTTTTATAATTCTGTAAAGAGAAATTGAGAAAGGCATAAATATAAGTTATAATTTTAGTTTATTGATTAAGTAAATTTTACATGAAATTTCATTTGAAATATAAACAAAGTGACACAGATAATAGACTCTTAAGAAAATAACTCTTTGAAACTTGTGAGCTACTACACTAAACATTTTACACTCCACTCTTGCTTCTACACTCTTCAATCGCTACTAACTTTCTCTTAATTTTTTCAATCACGCTCTTAACTCTTCTTTATCACTCCCTTAACTTTGGGATGAAGTATAGCATTAAACTAAGCGCCTCTTTTGAGCCATTCAAGCGTGCAACTTTCACACGTTGCAAGAAAAATTCAAAATATGTTTTTGTAACTGAAAATTCCCACAGTCATTAGAAATAAGGCGTTTCTATATCAGCAGAGAAGCTTGACGTCACCGGCAATGACCGCGTACGAACGCGAATGCCTACGAAATACCAACGATGACATGATCAAATTGCCAATGCAAAGCAATCGACACGCTTTTAAGTGTTTTTCAAATGGATTCCTCAATTTTTTTTTCTTTTTGGCATATTCTATTCAGCGAATTTCCATAAATCAGCCTAAAAGTTTTATTTTTCACAAAAAATTCTGTGGAATTAGTGAAAATGCTGCGCAATTTTTGTTTGTATTTGCTTAGCAATTTTTTTACAGTTACGCGCTATAAGCTGCGCAACATATCTTTCTGTTTCAACATAAACACTACCACACATATATGTATATAAGTGCTGTCTGTATGTATTTGGCAAAATCTATTTCGCTAAATTTTCGCGCTTGGCAATTCATCGTCACGTCTTCGGTTTGCCCTTGTAAAAGCGTCAACTTATATCACGCGCGTGACTAGAATCTAATGCAGCTATTATTGGTGCTAGTGTTTGTTAATACCAATGCATGTGTGTGTGTCTGTATAACGAGTGCTTATCTAGGCAATACAAATATGTAAATATCATAACATTTTGCAGTGTTTTTGTTGTAGGTGGAGAGCGGTATACAATTGCTTTTAGCGGAAGTAAAATTAGATTAGCATTCATCAAGCGCCTTAAAATAGGCTAATAAGTAGGCGAATATGACAAAGAAACAATTAAATGATTTAAATACGTTTATTTGATTACCAATTCTTGGAAAAATTTCATGCTCAACAATTTTTCGTAATAATTAATTTTTCGAAGTAATTATTAGTGTATTAAAATCAAATTAGGTATATTATTAATTTGTATTATAACAAGTTTATGAAAAATACAGAATACATACATATCATTTTTAGCCATCCTAACCTTCAAAGGGCATTATATCATTGTGAGTGAAGCAACTTTTATTATTGCCAAAAAAAACAAAACAAAAAATGGCTACAAAGAATTTTGCGTGTTGATAAAATATTGCTTTTTAGAAGGAAATAACATAGTTGAAGCAAACTCTTGGCATGATGACAATTTTCTGGATACTACTTTTGGAAAATCAACCATCAACCAGATTAATCCGCTAAGTTTAAATGTGGTGAAATGAGCTTCAAAGACGGTGTACGCAGTGGACGCCCAAAAGAGGTTATTGCCGACGAAAAATCAAAAAAAGTCCACCAAATAATATTAAATCATATTATTCACGAATGATGAAAGATGAGAAAGCTCCGTGTAAAATGGATGCCGCGTTAGCTCATTTTTTGACTAAAAAGAATGAGGATTTATGCATGCGAAGGCTTTATACGAACCGGCATTAAAATAGGACGATGGGTGTGGCACGGCCCACCTTAGGGTAAAATATCATATATCTAGACCCGTCCGACTAAATTTAGTTTGTGGCATTCATTTCTCATTCCTTTGTCACATTGCGAAAATGATAGAAATCGGAATACAACCACACCTACTTCACATATGCACTGCTGGTCTTGGGTTAGACGCACCAATGACCCACCAACTTATTAAATAAATTGTTGTATTTATAATTATGCTTCTTTTTACTGTTCAAAATGTTTTTCTTATCAAAGTTCGAATCTTGTTCGAAAAATATTTGCTGATAGTTGGTAGATTTGTGAAAAAATTAGTGTACTTTCGAAGATTCCAGAAATGGGTATGGCAATAACGTGAGTTTTCGGTTGGTAATAGAAATATAGTATACGCAATTTACATTTCTTTGTCTTGCGTAAACAAGTGCAGTTTTTATACTCTGAACAGGGTATATTAAGTTTGTCACGAAGTTTGTAACACCCAGAAGGAAGGGTCGGAGACCCTATAAAGTATATATACAAATGATCAGTATGTCGAGCTGAGTCGATTTAGCCATGTCCGTCTGTCTGTATAGCTCATTTGTTGAAACTGCCGATATCGGACCACTATATCATACAGCTGCCATACAAACTGAACGATCGGGATCAAGTTCTTGTGTGGAAAATTTGCTCATTTCACAATGTATTTTCACAAAAGTTGACACAGGTTATTTTCTAAACCAACAATGTAATCTCCGAAGAAATTGTTCAGATCGGTTAACTATAGCATCTAGCTGCCATACAAACTGAATGATCGGAATCAAGTTTTTGTATGGAAAACATTCACATTTGACAAGATATATTCACGAAATTTGGTATAGATTATTTTCTGAGGTAGCAATGTAATATCCGAAGAAATTGTTTAGATCGGATCACTATAGCATATAGCTGCCATACAAGCCGAACGAACGAAGTTAACGTTTTTTCTTGTTTCTATTAAGAAAGTACTAAAATTTAAAAAAATAAATTGTTTTTGACCTACATTCAAAGTAAAAAAAAAAAAAACAAGAAAACACTGCTATTTTGAACTTATTGGAACGTGAAAAAGTAAATTTTTTCACTGCCAAGTGTTATCGTGGTTTGCGAAGAGATGAGCTAATATTTAAGTCGCCACCACAGCTGAAAAGGTGGAGTCATTGCGTGGGGTGCCATTATGTTTTATGAAACAATTCACTTAATCTTTATCGATCAGGAAAGGAACGGCGATGACTTCAAAATATTGTTGGAGTTCGTATTTCCAAAATTAGTGATCTCCAATGCTTCTATTGATAATGATCGTGTAGTAAAGTTGTTTATTTCGAGTCAAAATGTCATAGCCTCGACATGAGAACTTGACAATGTTTGGGGCTATCTATCAGGGAAGGTATACGAAGAAGAAAAGCAAGGAAAGGAAACATTAGCTGTTAAAAGTGTTTGGAGCGAGATTTTGTTGACCTACATGGATTCCCTGTATCATTTTATGAAGGACCGTTTATATGAAGTTATTACTAACAAAAGAGCAATACAGATTACTGAAATTATTATTTTTTATTTCGAATAAATCAAGTATTAACACGAACTTAATATTTAAGTTAAAAAAATACTTTTCTTATAACAATTTTAAAAGCCTAAGCGCGTATACTCTAATGACGAAGAAAATGGCAACTTTTTTTGAGTAGCTTTAAGAAAATGTTTGAAAAACACAATTTGTTAAGTTTAAATAATCATTGCATCATTTGAATATATAAATTTAAAACATCATTCAGTGCCCAATGTTTCTGCACATCAACTTTTTTTCAATCGTCATTAAAATTAAAAATATTAAAACAGTTGAATGCAAGTAGACGTGCATCTAGCTTAACGACCAGCAGTGTATACACAAATCAAGAAGCAATTATTATGAAGTATGCCACTTCATGACCAAAATTGTCCAAATCGAACTGAAACTGTTCAAACCTGGAGGTACCGAATATGTGAACAAATGACATCTTACCGAAAATAACGGTCAATGTATGAGATATTTAATTGAAATTGAATTAGAATCTTTTGAATCGGGTCAATATTTCTCTTGGCCTCATATACCTCATATAAAGATTTTGAATGTTCGTGTGACTTTATACCACATACATCGGCCAATACGTGAGTTATCTCAATGAAAATGAAGTAGAGTGTTTTACTAATAACTGTGTATTTTTCTGTCTAAAATGGCAGGATAACTCCCTACAGGGTCATCTAAAGTGAAAAAATAAGTGTTTTAGTTGAAGCCTTAACTCATAGTTTGAACGAAGGAAAGAACTGAAAATTGGATTTTAAAAATTAAATTTTCCGTAAAACGATATCAGACCACTGTAGTATATAGCTGCTCTACAAACTGAACGATCAAAATAAAGTCCTTCTATGTAAAATTTTTCATTTGTAAAGATGGTTTAACGAAATTTGGAGAAGGTTATTTCGTAAGGCAGTATATATTGTTTTCAATATGTGTGTGTTTGTCAGGAAAAAAATAAAAATAAAATAATTTTTTTTAATAAAATTGTCATTCTAATATAATATATTCCTAATTTTTTTTTATTAATAGATTTATTTTTTTCTATTTCATTTCGTTTCCTTTTCTAATTTTTTATTTTTTTCTTTTTGTCTTGTTCCACCTATTAAGTTATCTATATTTAATAATTTGCTTTACTAAATGGTAACTTCCTTCACTTGAGAAATTCCCACAAGCTTTATATCAATTGCAAATAAATAGACATATCCGTACGGGGTAAATTGTAAACACCGTTATCAAGCAACTTCACACCCTACCTTTTTATTTGTTCAAGTATTTATAACTAAAGCGAACAGATAATGGCCAAAGCCGCAGCTAAGGGTGCATTTAGGCGTGTAACCGAACTAGGATCAGATATACATGCATACGTATGTATATACAATCAAACAAACGCGCTTGCATACAAACGCACACCCATCCAAAAAAGAATCAACGCTGGGTAGTTAAAAATAACAAGCTGAGTCGCTTCATATGACATATCACTAAACAAATACAAAGCGATTGTGAGTATATGTGTGTATTTGCGCCTGTGTGCGTACACACGGCTAAACTAACATTTATAATTGCCCATAAAAGCAATTAAAAAATATTAAAGTAGATTAGTGTGCGTAATGAATAGAAAGGATAACCCACAAGCACTTAAACGCACACACACTATACTATACATGCAAGCTAGGATAAATAAGCAC